TGGAGGTTTCTTAGATAGAAGCTTTGTTTAAATGTTTATCTTTTTTTTTTGTCATGTATTGCTGCTGATCACATGCGTTCTGGCATACAATTTATTGATATAATATTTCTAGAATTTTGTATGTATTTTTTCATATGTACAAATGATCTTGTGTCTCTATATCCGAAGTCCCACAAGTGTCCTGCTAGACAAATCCTAGAGGTAGGCAAGAGTTGGACGCTCTCATTTTTCCTAGCCCACCCTATCCAATTCCTATTCGTCTCCTAGCGACCCCCTCTAGGAGTCGCTAGGAATGGGTGTGGCTTTTTCCTGATGTACCCGCGTGCAAGCGCTAACGCCTCGTTCGTCGGCTTTGTATCTTCGTCTCCTAGCGTCGTCTCGCTCTTCCGAACTCCTCACCATCCGCGACTCGTTTCAAGATCAGTTTTGGGGCCTGGCCGACGGCGAGAGCGGGTTGGAGCTGCGACACCGAAGGCAGGCGCTGGTCTTGATCGCCCATGGAGACACCAGAGCGCTCGCGGTTGTACGCGAGCCATGGTGTTCTCGATGTGGATGTTGAGAGATCCACGACCGCTTGAAGGTGTTCGGCTCTCGGACGCCCTAGGACCCTCGAGTCAATGCCCAGGAAACGTCGACGGGGTCGTATCAGGTGCGTCGTTCTTCTTTCTCCTGGGTATGACTGTTGATGCTGATCTAATTCTTGCTTATCATCGACGTCTTGCGTTCCATTTTCATCTACTTGCTCGTCGTATCTACTGCACGTGCTGCCATGTCCTCTCCTTCCTTCGTCTCCCCAATCATCCACCATCCCTTCTTCGTATTCTCGTTCGTCCCGTTCTTCTCCTCCGCGTTCATTATCTTTCTCTTCGTTTTTCTTTTGTTTTTCTTCTTCATTGTCACTTTCTCTTTCGTCGCTCACTTCTTCATCGTTCCCTCTTTCGTTACTCTCTATTCCATTTTTCTTTTCTTTCTCGTTTCCTCCCTCTTCCTCTTCGTTTGCTTTCTTATCGCTTGTTTCTTCATCGTCGTCGTCTTCTTCAGCTTCCAACGCTTCTCTCTCCACGAACTCGCCAATCTCAAACGACAGGCCGTCCCGCTGGTGATATGGGATCACACGAAATGCTGCGAATCTTGTCCGCAATACTGCTCCATCTTCCTGAGCCAGTATATATGATCCTCCCTTTGTCCTCCTCACCACGACATACGGTCCCAACCATCTTGGCTTATGTTTCCTATTCAACTCTTTCTCCACCGCGGAATTTCAAACCAAGACGAGTTGTCCCGGCTCCAATTCTCCTCGGAACAAGGTACGTGCATGTTCCCTCTCGAACCTCTCCTTGTACTCCCATCGTGACTTTCTAACTCTTTCCAACGCTTCTTCTTCCGCTTCCTCTCTTTTTGCTAATATCTTTATTCTTTCCACCATCAGCTCCTCCGTCATCATTGGCCG